AAGGGTCATAAAAGAGTTCATGAAAAAAACATTTCAAAGGAACAGCAATAGTTCAAGCACCAGCGGCCCAGTGTTGGGCACGGTTGAACCCTGTGGCGGGTGAAGCGCTTCCCGGGCCATCCCTCCAACTTGCCCTTGTCCTTGGTTCTTCGCGAGGGAAGGCGGGGCAGCGTGCGGTGTGTTTGTCTCCATGAGGCGTCGGTGCGTGTGTCCTGCTGGCAGAGGGGCGCCTGGCGCCCGCGTGGGCCGACGCTGATCAGCCTGCGCGCCCGTCCCATCAGGACGGCCGTTCTGGGTGGCGCCTGCGAGGGGGCGAAGCGGCCCTCACCCAGGCTGCCCCCGGCCCTTCGCGGCCTCGCGCCTCTAGTAACAAGTCACAAGGACGTGGGGTGACTGCGGGAGTTGCCGCGCCCGGCACCGACCTCCGTGCGCCCCTGTCAGCGCTGCAGGGAGGAGGCCGCGGGGCCACGTCACAGAGGGAAACTGACCCCAGAGCGGCCAGGACACGGCCTTGATGTTGCGCAGCTGACATGTGGCCAAGCAGGAATTTGAACCAGTGGCATTCTGGTACAGCACTTTCTGAAAAATAAGGAGAGACGGGGATGGGGGGGAAGATAGAGGGGGGAGAAAGAGAGAGAGAGGAGGAAGCCCGGATTCACAGTGTCCGCCAGTGTCTGTGGTATCAATACTACCCTACCACCACCACGGCCGATTTCCAGGTATCAATGGTTTAATGAATGACTTGCAAAATTCCTAAATATTTAACAACCAGCACCATTGATTTGAAACTGGTCTCTGAAGCCCCGACTCCATTCTCTGTCAGCATGTCCCACTTTTGCACGTCACTTGTACAATTTTGCCACATCTGTGTTCCACCTATTACTAGTAAATATTTTCCTCTAAGTCACCTCACTTTTTAAAGACAGGTGGCATTACTATCATTGAAAGTGAAATCACCTGCTATAAGTAGAAGGTAATAGTAAAATGAACAGTTAATTTTTAAAATAAAAATGTTCTTTGCGCTTCCTAAAACACCCTTTCTGTGTGTTGGTGCTGGGGACTCAGGAGCATCCCGGGTCTGGGGATCTGGGGCCCGTCTCTCTGCCTGTCCTCTGCAAGGGCCATGGCCTGTCCCTGGGTCCTTCAAAACGAGAGCACAGTAAATCTGACAGGAACGCGGAACGCTGGGCAGCATTCAGCCACACCTGGGTGTGACCCCCCTGCCTCTGCAGGACACGCCCAGCAGCCCTCAGGACCCTGGGGCCAGGAGGAAGACCCTCTGAGCAGATTCTCCGGGGCGGCCTGCCCATGGGCCCTGGACCGGGTTTCCACCGCGGCTTCCCCTGCGGCTGCCCTTGGGGTGGGCTTTGTTAATGCGCCACAGCGGCGGCGGGGCACCCAGCGCGGACCAGGCCTTTGAGGGCCAGAGCTGTAGGGTGGAAACAGGGAAGAGAGGTTCAGGCAGGGTTGACGGGGAGAAAGCCAACAAGGTCCGTGCTGACGCCCACCCAAGCTGAGTGCCGGCCCTCTTGTGTGTCGGCTCCGCCCCGGCCTACGTGCTCTCAGCGAGGGCTCCCCTGTCCACCAAAGGACCGGGTCTCCCCAACAGCCCCATTCACAGTAGCCCCACTTGGAAATCAATACAAATACACTTCCCATCAACAGGAAAATGGACGAATCCCTTTTAGAATAATATACAACAAAGAAAAAGCCAACAGCGCCAAGCACATGCAAAAAAGAATCTCACAGACATAATATTAAGGAAAAGAAACTAAGGGGAAGGAGGGTGGGTGGAGGTGGGAGAGGATATAAGAGGGATAAGTGGTGATGTAAAAAAATACAATTAAAAAAACTTAAAAAAAAAAAAAAGAAACTAGGCACCAAAGAATACATATTGTGTAATTCTGTTTCTATGAAGTTCAAGAACAGGCAAACTCATCTATGGTAATAGAAATCAGAATATTGGGGTGCTAATGAATAAGAGGTGTAGGGACGCTTTCAGGGGGTGCTGGTCATGTTCTCCACCTTGATCTAGTAGATAATACCAAAAAAATTATTAATGATTAAATGTAAGAAAAAGATTTTTTTAAAAAAACCAACATAGTGCTGGGTGAAGAGAGTGGGAAATAGAATGACATCTAAACAAATACAGTTTAGGGATTAAGAAGTGCACCTACGCTAAACAAGAGCGCACATTCTGCAGCAACATAAAAGATACATTTCAAATACATCACTATGGTTGCCTGTGGGTTAGGAAGGGGAGCGCCGGGCAGTGAAAAAAGGGAACACATACACAACAAGGTGAAGGCCTCTCTAGGACCAGAGGGGACCATGTGCCACTTAAGCAAGAAAAGGAACAGAAGGAACAGGAGGAGGAGGAGGAGGAGGAAGGGGAGGAAGAGCGAGACCCTGGACAACACTTTGAGGTTCCCAACATTGCCCAGGGAGCCAGCTGGGGCTCTGATCCCCGCAGCCGCACGAGTCCCACAGTGCGCTTCAGCAGCAGCGCCCCCTTCAGGCCCTGGGAGGGGCAGCACGGCTCCCCGAGGACGCAGGTGGGCTCCTGAAGGAGGGAAGCCCTCACTCACCACGGACGGACGGGAGCTGGGAGGCTGGCCCTGGCCCCGGAGCTCTGCAGACAGGCGGATTTCGGCTGGGGCTCACAGCTGGTGGCCTGGGGCTTCTTATGAGCTGGGAGTTGGGAGTAGAGGGAGGGGAGACTCCCGTGTGCTGGAGTGAGAAACGGGCCGCGGAGAGGACAGGCTCGTCGGCGGTCCTCCCATGTGTCCTCCACAGCCCAGGACCGCCTGTGCTTGTATGTACTTGACTTTTAATGCACTTACGTTTTTTTCACTTAAATAAATGTTTTAAAAGGTAGTTGTGTCTAAAGCGTTGGCATGGATGTGGAGAAATTGAAACCGTTGTCTTGGTGGGAATGTAAAATGGTGTGGCCTCTATGGAAAATGAACTACCCTATGATCTAGCAATCCCACTTCTGGGTATTTATGCAAAAAGTTTGAATCAGTATTTGTACACCCATATTTATAGCACTTGCAATAGTGAAAGGTACAAGCGAACCAAGTGTTCATCAATAGATGGATGAACGAAATGTGGTATATACATGCAACGGAATGCATTCATCCTTAAGGGGAAACATGGGACACACTACAACACGGATGAACCTGGAGGACGTTATGCCAAGTGAAATAAGCCAGACACAAAAGGACAACTATTGCACGATTCCACTTCCATGAGGTCACAGAAGCAGACGGCGGAGCGGCGGGCTGAGGGGGAGGGCCCGGGACGTCGTTCTACGCGCGCAGAGTTTCACAGGAAGCGAGTCCGGCGACGGCGGGGGCGCGCTGCGCGGCCGCGTGGACGTGCCTAATGCCGCTGAGCTGCGCACTTAAAAACGGTGACGATGGTACACTTTATATTGTACGTACTTTACCACAATTTTTTAAAGGTGGGTTTGTATCACTACTATAAATGAAAAACCTCTTGCCCTAAAGACAAGGTCTCCTCGAGATGAAAGCTCGTGCACCCTCAGGTGCGGCACGGCGCTGACGTCACGGGGTGCCGGGGCGGCCCGGGCTGTCCCGGGACCTCCTCCCGCTTTGGTTACCACGGGGATCGGCAAGTGCCAGGGGAGGGTTACCAGTGTTTCAGAACCAACTTTCTCCTTGACAAATTCAGGAGGGCCGGAAGAGGGCTTCAGAGGGACCCACCTTCTCCCCACAGGGCGGACTCCATAAACATTTCTCACGCTCCCCCGCGCTTTGCTAGACCCTTAAGGACAAGGGAGTAGGGAGCATGCGGTGTCGGACAGGGGCAGTAAGAACATGTCGAGTGAGAGGAGCAGAGCAAGGAGGCCCCCACCCAGACCAGGCCCGTGCAGGCTGTCCGGGCGGGAATTCCAGGTCTCCGGCGCCTGAGTTTGGGTACCTCGTCCCAAGGCCTCTCCGCCCTGTGAAGAGGGGTCTAGCTGCGTCAGGGCCAGAGCAGAGCCTTCTGTAGGAGCTGGGCTTAGAGAGGGGACCTGGATACTTTGGTCGAGGGGCTGTACTCCCAGGAGGCAAGTGAACAAAATCCAGCCTCAGTAGCCCGGCTGGAGACTGGACAGACGGCGACGCTGGAGGTGGAGGGTGAGCGGGTGCAAGGGCAGACGTGGGAGGGAGAGACTGCGAAGGATGCCGCTGAGAAAGCACCAGTTGACGACCTATGTTTTAACACGCGTTGCCTCTATACCCCTTTCCCAGAAACAGCGCCTCAGTTTTGGGAAATTCTCAGGATAGTCTCAGGATATTTGGCTGAGCAAGGCTGACTCCACGCCTCTCACCGCAGGAGGCAGGAGAAACGACTACCACCTGTGAGCGATAATGAGGACACAGTCCGGTATCCGATTACGCTCCTAAATTCAGCCTCACCCGAACCATCCTTCCCCTTCCTTTATGCTTTAGCAGGGTGCACAGCTCACCTGACACGGGGTGTGGGTGCGTGCGTTTTGCGGAGGGGAAGGAGGGTTAAAGGGGGTGTCTTACCACCATCTCTCCCTCGTGTGGGGCCTGCGGAGGTTTCATCTAGTCTACAGAGGTCCTTCCTAACCACTCGGGGGTGCTCACAGTTCCAGACTAGTGGGCTCCTGATACTCTTATTTACAGAGAACGCCCCCCATTTAAGTCATGTCACTAATATGACCTAAAACTGACCAATTGACAAATTAAATCTCACTTAATTGTAAAATTGTAAAGTTTTAGCTTTTCTTTTCCGTATTCTCGTCTGAAACTTTCCCATAGGTTCCTAGAAAGTTCCTAGGCTGCAGGCCCTGCTCCCACCACTCCCGACGGATAAGCAAGACCCAATACGGGGCGAGCCAGGGACCCGGCCAGCTCCGGCCCTCGTGCGGGCGGGCAGGCAGGAGGGAGCCGGCCAGACCACCACGCAGGCGCGCGGGGCGGGGCTGCGCCCAGGCCTGCGCGCTCCGCTCGGCCGGCGGGGGTGGGGCGGCGGCGAGCGCGCGCCGGGGGCGGCAGGCAGGCGAGCGGGACTTTGTGTTCCACGGACCCTCCTTTGGTCGCATCCTACTCCCGCGTCCTCGCCAGGAGCCCCCAACTTGGCGGGTCCGGCCTCAGAGATGGAAGGGGCTCGCCCCTACAGCCCTGGAGGGACCCCGAGTGGACGACCGCGCGCAGCCTGACCTGCCGTCCTCGCCAAGAGGCCATGGGCGCGTCCCCGCGGGCGGGCCGCGGACGTGAGGGCGGCGAGCAGCGGCGCCGCTGTGCTGAGGAAGGCCGTGCTTGTGCTCGGCCGCGCGCCGGCCGCGCGCGCGCGCTCCCGCCGCAGCGCCGGCCGCGCCCGCCCCGCCTCTCGGCTCTGGCCCCGGAGCCTGGTCCGCGACCGGCGGCGGCGGCCGGAGGGACGATGAGCGGCGCGACACGGGCGGGCCCGGCCCGGCTCGCCGCGCTCGCGCTGCTGACCTGCAGCCTGTGGACGGCGCGGGCGGACAACGCCAGCCAGGAGTACTACACGGCGCTCATCAACGTGACGGTGCAGGAGCCCGGCCGCGGCGCCCCGCTCACGTTCCGCATCGACCGCGGGCGGTACGGGCTCGACTCGCCCAAGGCCGAGGTCCGCGGCCAGGTGCTGGCGCCGCTGCCCATCCACGGAGGTGAGTGCCGGGCGGGGGCGACCCGGGCGCGGGGTGGGCTGGGGTCTCCACGCCGCCGGGCCCCCCGCGCCGGTCGGCGGGCGGCCTCGGGTAAGGTCTCGGTCGTGCGCAGCCCGGCCTCCTTGCGGCTGGGGGGGCTCTGAGAGTGGTTGGGTTTTCCTTTCGTCTCAAGACTTGGGGAGCGTCCCTGTGCGGGCAGAAGGCTTGTTTGCGGGAGGGCACTGGACCGCGAGTTTGCAGGGATGGCTCAGACAAAGGAGGCGGTGGAGGGGCGCAAAACTCAGTCACGGGGGGTGCTACTAACCTGCCCGAATCGCAGACTTAACTCTGCATTGCATCTCAAAGGACGAGGCCCTTTCCTCGCGTACAAACGTGCGGTTTTTCTTAAGTGGCAAGTGGGGGCAGGGGGAATGGAAGAGGAAAATGGGCATCTTCCCTGTTGCTTTTGGCTCTTGTTCTGCCCCAGTAGTTTTACTTCAATTTGACGCCTAAAAATCTCAGAATCTGATAGCCAAGTCTTCCGGTCACGGAGACCGACCAAAGGGGAAATAGGTAAAATTTTCAAGAATTGTCTTTGCAGCCATTTAGCTTATCCTCTGTTAAACATAACCATGGGCTCTGTTTAATTATTTGGCATAAAACATATGTTTATAGAAAGTACTGTTCATGTTTCAAAGGAAACTCTTCCACACTGTGGAATATGATTCTTTGTGTTTTTGGCCCACTGCGAACTTTTTGGAAAATGTCTGCTGTCAACACACAGTAAGTCCTCAAGAAAGGACTATGTTTTAGACAGGGTCCCCACCCCCACTGTCACCCTGAGAACGCTGGGGGTGGGGGAAAAGTTGCTGTTCCTGTTAACAGGACCTCAACTAGGCAACCTAAATAAGGTAATGGTGTTTGTTTTTCTACTCTAAGGTAGGAAAACATGCCGCTTCTCGGGTCTCTGTTGGTATGCCGTAAGGCTAAGTTGTTTTCTTCTCTGAAGGCAGGCTGGCTGAGGGAAAAAGAATCACCTAAGGCTCCTAACTCTGGTCTGTCTTCAGTTTAGACTGGCCTTTGGAAAGTCCTCTTTTGTGCCAATAATCAGGTGCTTAAGATGCATTTCTCCTTTCCACTTTGTTAAAAACAGCGGTCCGGCCTGCCCACGGAAGCAACTTTGGTCTTTAGTTCATTCTGTAAATATTTGCATGCCTGGTCTGTGCCAGTCACTGCGATTGGGACACATAATATTGCTACACTGTGGCACTAACAATGGTTGCCTATTTTCTGGTGCGGAGGAGAACTGTGAGGGTCACGTGGAAGGTAGGAAGAGGAAGAGAGCCTAGCTGTCCTGAAGCAAGAGCCGGCCCTGTGCAGTGTTTTGAAATCTGTGGTTTGGGGCTTGGTTCCTTAGGTCCCAAATCCATGACGATCACTTGAGATTCTTACCTGCTAAGTGCTCAGCTACTTGTTGCTTGCCTGTCACAGAACAAAAGCCCCACCTGTGAGGAAGCTTGTGGAAGGGCTGTGGAGAGAAGGGTGTGGGGAGCTAAGGGGCGGACACCGACGTGTGTGTGTGTGTGTGTGTGTGTGTGTGTGTGTATGGATGGATGACGGAGGGCTAAGCGCCGTGTGTCCTGCTGCAGTGAATACTGTGACGCTGGGAGCCCAGGAGCCTCGGTCTCACCTGCTAGGTGGAATGATGAAATAATTTACCTCGTGAGGCTGGTGGGAGGCTTAAAGGGTTCCTGCGTTTTTAAAAGAGGGACCCTGTTAACTGAAACGGTCTCTGGACTGGTGGGCTCTTAGACCCCGGGGGCAGTGTGAGGAGACGGAGTCTGGGGGCACTTCCCTGAGTGTCTGCCTGCCCGTCTTCTCCACTCGCTGGGCGCTCACTTTGTAGTTGCACGTGAGTTTGCTCCGGGTTTTCTCATGGTGTTGATGGGATCCTGCAGTGGTTTGGGTCTGGCATTGTTCTGAGGGGTCTGCACACATAGGGTCTCTCGGTCCAGCAAAAAGGAATTGAAATCCCACCATTTGTAGGGCTGAGGGAGGGGCAATAGCAGTGAAAAAAACAGAACTATCTTCCCCCCTTCCTGGAGCTCACATTCTAGTTGGGGTCTTTATAAGTCAGTTTACCTAGAAATTGTTTCTAAGCCTATGGGTTTACATGAAATCCAAGACATTTTGCAGCATTTGCAGTAGGAACTTACAACTGTATTTTAAAAACAAGAATGGCGGTGGAAATCTGTTAAAATTATTCATGGTTAAGAAAATGGCTTGTGTCGATATTTCAGTTTTTTAAAATGACTTAAGATTGGAATAATGTTTGGGTATTTCACATTATGATATTCTTGATTTAGTGAATTTCACATTTTTATGTTTTTAGAATACTGTACTTCTTACGACCTTTGCTTTTGTAATTTTGCACTAAAAATTCTCAACGTCTTTATTGAGGACTTACTGTGTGTTGACAGTAGACAAAGTGATGTTCAAATTACAAAAACAAAAAGTTTGAGACAGTTCCTGGCACAAAATAAAAGGTAAAAACACACACACAAAAAAAAAACCCCAGCTGTGGTCAATGGATGTGCTCTCAATTAAGTATATAATTGAGATATATAAGTATATAATTAAGTATATAAATGAGAGAGATTTATTCTATACTGCTGAAGGGTAGACTGACATTTTTTTCCTTAGATGCTATGGTATTTTGAAAGTACATTTTACAAAGTGTTAAACTTTATAAAATACTTCATGAACAAGTGTACTTTGAAAATATATTCTTTGTCATTAAATAGAATGCACCTGCAAGTGGAGATTCATTTGTGTGGCGTTAACAAATTGCATATTTTAACTGGCAGAGAATTCATGTTTAGAAATGGCCTTTTGAGGGAGCACCTCTTGTATTTATGTGCAGATCCTAGTTGCGTTTGCACAGGGTGAGCTTCGGAGGAGAAACAATGGAAGCTGGCGAGTGCGGTGCCCACTGTGGAGCAGACATTGTAAATGTGCTTTCTGTGTGCACACACTAACTTTTTGTCTGAGCCTGGAGTGGGGGCTGGGAGAGAAGAGGGCCCTGTGTCGATGACGTCACTGTGTATGCAGATGTGCTGGTGGGAAGAATTGGGTATCAACCACTTTTGGCTCCGCATAGAATTTTCAGGATGGGATCTTACAGCGTTAGAGAACAGTTTTACCAAATGATAAACCTTTTTTTTGGTCATCTTGCTGACTGTAGGGATGCCTTAAAATTTTTAAAAAATAACTTTAGGTTTTTATGTTTTCACAGTGATTCTGTTGGATGCATTCCTTCCATATGACCTTAGTTTTTAAAATTCTCATAAAGAGTGAAGGAGATGGATGTGGAAATAAGATCTTGGATGAAAGCAGTCATGTAATGTTAGAATTCACAATGGCAAATGCAGGGGCTACTGGATATAGACATTTCAAAATACTCAGAGAAGAACTAGGAATGATCCTGTGAGCAGAGCGTCTGAAAGAAAAGAGAATTCAGAAGGAGCTGGAGGCTCTAAAAACCAAATTTTTGTGTAAATTAAATAGCCAAGCAAGAAGATAGAGGAGATATATACAATAAATCATTTTACAACTTAGAAAATGTTTTTACTACTGTGTTTTTCCTTTGCCCTTGGATGATCCATTAGCATATAAATATTTGAATATTTTTTTAAAAAACGTTTGACATCCCCACCAAATGTCCATCCTCCTACCATCCACTTTCTCTGTTTCTCTTGGGGGCAGAGCTTCTTACAAGTGTTGTAGTTGCTGTCTTTAATCGTTCCTCCCGCTACTGTTCCTCACCTTGTGGAGGTCTTCGTAGACCATCCGCTGGGCCGCAGGGCCCCGGGGCTCGGAGCCCAGCAGTGGGCGGGGCTACAGAGTGCACCCAGGGAAATGACACCTGGTCCTGAACTTGGGTAAAGAAAAAAGTCACCTGGATTGAAGGGAGGGGGAGATGGGTTTAGTTGTGTGTCACAGGACAAAGCCCGTGCCCGCGGACGAGCTGGCCCGGTCCCGTCCTGCATTCATTTGGGCCCTGGGCCCCAGGGAGCGCTGGTCCCCTTTGCAGAGGCCAAGCTACACCGCAGTTCATGTTTTGTTCTGATCGTGAGTTTTAAGAGATGAACAACCTACAGAGGGTTGTTTTGAACACTATTCTGAAAGGGAAATCCTTCCTTGGAAGGAAGGTGAGATCAGATGACTTCTAAGATCCTTCCACCTTGAACAATGCACCACTGTAAAGTGGTAAAACAAACCTTTGTAAACAGACCTGTCAGAGTAGACCTATCAAGGAGAGTGGTGTTTTTTCCAAACCAATCCCACGTATACACACATATGGACATATTGTAATGATATGGACATATTGTAATGAACACATAAAGGTAAACACGTTTAAAATTTGTTTTGTGAGATTATGTGCAATGTGTCAAACCTGTGTCTTTTCTAGATTTGAATTGTGGCAGGTGACAGTCATTTTGAGGCCGTCCCTTTCTGCTGCGCTGCGAAGGCGCTCAGAGAGGAGCCCAGCGGTGTTGTGGCTGGTCTGCGCCAGGGCGAGGAGGCGGTGGCATGGGTGGACAAACGCATTGTCCTCGGAGCTGGTTTCCTCAGCGAAATAATTTTGACTTATTCACAAAACAAAATGATTTTTCAGGACCATCAACATTTGTTTCATCTTCTTTGGGGTATTGTATTCACTAGACATTCATTATTTTCTATAAGTTGTAGTAAGTATAGCTTTCTTGAGGGAGGCAGTTTTGAACAAAACAAAGGAACCCTTCAAATGTCAAACGAAATAAATTAAAAACTATTTCATAAGCACCTACTCTGGGCTTGTGTTTGTGCAAGTCCCGGGGTGTGTGTGGAAGCCGTGCTGTGTGGTTCCCGCCTGGGCGAGCTACGTCCGTGCGCTGCCGACAGCAGCTCGTCCGGTGGCAGACGATGGTGTGGCCGTCTCTCCCTGCCAGGGGACTTTGTTCTGAAGCAGGGCTCCGGGG